TTAGTTGTTAGAAGTTGAACTGTGGTATAATGTTTAATAAGAAAACACCTTGTACACTGCTATGCATTTTGACTAATAATTGAGACAGCATTTGTAGGACAGAACACAGCTGCTCACAGTGGTGGTTTACTGAACATAAACTCCAGCAATGCTTAAACCCCTGGGACTGCCAATGCAAACCTCAGACAGACGAACAGAAAAAACAGAGGACAGGACAGAAAAATTGTACTTGGCTTTAGTGCATTCCCCTACTAGAATGAGCAGTATCTGAAATCAGCAGTTCAAAAGATGTTGAAGAGGATTTAGAGAAGAGACATGAGGTGACTAAAGGTCTAAATAACCTGCCTTACTGACAGACCACAGGAGCTCACTCTGTTTAGTCATCAGACCATTCTCCTGGCACTGGTAACTTTATTATGCTGTGAGCCAGTTCAGGGAGCTGCTCCAGTTGACAGCTAACCTGCCTTTTTCCATTTATTTGTTTAAGGTTTTCATCTGCACCAGGTCCCTGAACTGGTTCACCCCATGGCCACATAAGCAGTGCCAACACAAAACTGGTTACAGGGACAAGTGGCAGGGAACTGAAGGAAAAGACGGGACAGTTTGTCCCCAGATTTAGAACAAACGAGCTGCCTCCATACATACCCACCTACAGAATGCTCTCTCCAGCCTCTTGGTGTCAGTGAAGAAGACATTACAGACCCTTCTGGGTGGAAGCCAAAGCTGGTGACATTTGCAGCGGAACAATTAATCAAGCACTGTGATGTCTTCTTTTTCACCAGCAGTATTGTCCATGAGATTAGATGGCAGTCTAAGAGATTCACTGCCTGATTTAAAGACTCCATTCAGGGAAGCCCTGCAGTGTATGCTATGTAGAACAGCAGACTAGATGATCTGGACATTTCTTTCTGTCCTCAAACCCTAGGACGTGATGTGTTGAAAAACATCCAGTCTTATAATCTGCAAGCAACCTATAAACTTTTCTTTTAGAAACAGAAACGCTAATGCATTTGTATACATATACTCTTCTTCTAACATTTTCTGAAGAAATATGACTGTTTGGTCCAGTTACCTGCAACTGAGCACTCTCCAGCCTTTAACGTGATACAAACAAGCCCAAGTGGATAAATATGCTAGTGCTCCAGCAAAACTAAAAAAGCCATTGTTCTCACCTATAAAAGAAAAGGTGCCTTTACCCAGTTTTATTATAGTTTATGCAGCACTTTTCATGGTTTATTCAGACCACAAAATTTTAAGGAACTGTAAAACTATTTTCAACTGAGTTGTCTTTATCGTCCCTTTAGCACCACAGCAGATAAACTATTAGGCAGCCTACTGCAAACAGCTAAATCCTTCCCATGTTCCAGCCATACCCCGAGACAGCAGATAACATACAGACCGTGAAAGCAAACCCTGGAAATAAGTGGGTCAGAAGTCTAGGGGAGAAGAAGTGCCAATTTGTGGCTGTTGGGCTGCATGGAGCTTACCAGAATACAAATGCTGCTTTTTTATTCAGGCAAGGCGCCGGCAGTGAGACCGTGCTGGCTCAAGGACTACTGAGCCACCTCGGTCATGGCCGGGAAGGAAGCAAGGCAGAAGGGGCAGCTGTGGTCAGGTCCGGTGGGTCGTCCTGGGGCTTGGGACCCAGCTGCCCACCCAGCTTGGCTCTGACCGCAAGAGTGACCACAGCAGGAAGGGATTGCCATGTAGCACTTGCGAGTTATTGCAAGACCTCCTGGTCCTTGCAGCTTTCTGAAATACTTGTGCCTTGAGCTGTCAGCCATAGGAAGATGTGGAACTGAATTTTACAAGGTGAGGAAAATCAGGAGTGTTTGTACAAGATGACAGATTTGAAAAAAAAAAAAAAAATCCATAACTGACTTCCCTTACTGAAAGGAAAAAAAAAAAAAAAAAAAGCCACATTCCTGGAATGGTGTCTGCCCTTTTAAAGGAAAAACTTTAACTTCAGGCTTCTAATAATCACGGACTTTGCTGTAATACGAGGAGTGAGATTGTCACTAAGCTATTTGGAAAATCTGAGTCAAACCCAAACTATATCCAAATCTACAGAAATCTACATAGTTTTGACGATATGCTCTGCTAAAGGACTATTTATTAAGTGTTGATGTGACCCTAAAGTTCAGCCATGACCAGAAAAACAGTCAAAACTGAGGTGGCAGCATTGTGGGTTATTGCAGTTATCCCTGAAACCAAAAAGAAAGGTCGTTCCCATCACACCAGCACTGCATTCCCCCCCGGAGAACGTGTGTGCAGGGAGAGGACTGGAGGAAAGGGCTTTTCCTTTATTTTACTTTTTTTTTTTTTTTTTTACATCACAGCCTGCTCCTCAGTAAACTAACCAAGGTTGTGGCTTAACCTCAAAATTACAAAGGAAAATGATAGATCACATGCTCTTTATCAATGGAGCTGCTTTTTTATCGCAGTCTAGATAGGCTGTTCTCATCCTTTCTAGCTGAACTTCAGTGAGTTAACACTTACTTAAATTCTAGTCTGGGAAAATTGTTAAGCTGCAAAAGCCAAGTCAGAGGCTTTATGGAGCTGGGCATCATCTGTATACTGACATCACAGGACACATTGGCTCATTCCTATACGCTCCTGTGTGAACTTCCCTCCCTTTCATATGATGTTGAATTAAAAAGGATGATAAAATATTAACCCACATCTGTCCATATCTCTAAGCAAGATGTACTGCTAACATTGTCATTTCCCTGCAGCTAAACAGTGAACTTTTTTGAAGAAGAAAATGTCTTTCGTCCAGATGATATCAAATAAGACCTGGAACAAACAAATTACATCAAGGACTATAGCTTTTTTGGGGAGGGGAGGGAAGCATTGCAAGATAGGAGCAATGTGTGAATGCATTATTTGGATTGACAGAAAAATATCTTGAATTTCTTGTGATACCAAGAAATTTCCCCATGAGGCTGCTCCCATTTTGTGCAAGGATTTTTCCTAGCTCTGATTTCCTCACAAGGAAATAGATCTGCTTCAAAACCCTGACTCACCACTGCCAACAGCTTTGATGGAAGTATCAAATACTCCATAGTATGTGCTAAAAAAAATTTAGAGCAAGAGATGTATAACAGAGTTTAATTTTATTCCAGTTTGAACACAGTGGAGAGTGGAACAGGGAAGAAATGTGATAATTTGACCGACTATGGTTTTGACTGTCTCAGCAGTTGTGCTGCGTATTTCCAACAGACTACTAGCAATGGCAGTATTAATACAGCACCAGAGCCTTACATCTAGTACAGTTCACTCCAAGGGGAAAAACACATGCAGCTCATTTTAATGAAAAACAAAATTAGCATTCAGTTTCATAAAACTAAATGCTAGTACTTTCTAAATAAATAACGCATTTGCCCTAATTTTTCATTAAAAACCATGCTGAAGATTTCCTATAATAGAAAAATATGAGTCAAATCTAGCCTTTGGAAAATTTTTTCCTGCACATTTTGATCCATTTTTGCCAGCCAAAAGGGCAGAAGGAGTCCTAAAAGCTCCATATTTATAACAAAAATTTTCTCCAGAAAAGGTACCAACAGACAGGTTTAAGACAGGCAGCCAAGAAGGGCTGTTGTAACAAGGCTCAAAGCTGTTTGAGCTACACTTGGAAACAATGCAGGAATTTGGAGGCTGGAAATATTTTTAAGCCATTCTCGTCCACCCATTAATTTCTCTGACTGGCCAGTGTCGCAAAAGTAAGCGTGACCACTTGCCTCCTCAGTCCATAGGGATTTAGTACACTCGGACTACTCTGTCTTCCTTTGACAAAAGGTTTTATATAGACAGTGCCAGATGTTAATTACAGTAATTCGTTGTTAGCTTTGTTTGCTAAGGAAATAAGGCTCATACACTTGCATTGTCCATTTGGGTGGACATCTGTCCCCCTTAACAACTTCCGAGATGATGGGTAATTTCAAACACAATTAAAAGAACTAAAAAACCTCGCAGATGTTACGTTCTTACAAATTCCATTAATACTGCTGGCTGGGTAAAGGAAAGGGAAAAAAAATCTGTAGTTCACTGAGGCAGAAAGGTAGAATTCAGCCATAACCTTCAGCATAGCAGAAGCTGGCTCTGTCAGAGAACATGCCATCTTTTGCCTCGTAGAAGTGAAATAAAAGGGATGAGCGTGAGCAGAGTAACTGAAGTGGTAGTGTAAAGGAAATGAGACCTAAGCCGGCAGAAAGACAGACTCCAAGTTTTGAGTCCTTTCTTAAATTATTGCATGATAACAAAGCTCTCAAATACTATCAAGCTGTCAAATAAAACAGTTGATTAAACTACCTTCAGCTGGTTCCTTTGCATTATAACTATGCTACCCAAGAAAGCTCTATTAAATACACATGCACTTCACAGATGTGGATTATACTAGCAATTCATTACTAACTTTCAATGAAACTGACCACAGGTTTATTATAAATCCTCAGGTTTGTAATAGGTTGCTAGAGATCACAAGGTAGCTAACAAGATCACCCCTCTGCTCCTTAACAGAATTTCTAAACACATTTCTCTCGGATCATCTATTTCCTTAGGTATTAATGTTTCTTTCATTAAATGAGCACTATATCCAATGTTATTATTCTCCAGCTTCATAAAAAACATTAACATTTTATTTCAACAATTATTCTGTGCTATTCAAATTAAGCTGTTTAATCACTATGGTTTCCTGAGGACTGGTTTATATTGACCAGTACTACAAAAAAATCTCTGTGACACTTAAAAGTTCTGTTTATTTTGTCATGGCTGTTACTAGAGATGCCTACACACATAATATTCTTTGCTCAATGTTTCTGCTTTACATATTAGTTTGGAGTCTTTGCTGAAGTTATGAATATGATACTGTGGAAGAGAGAGCAAAGCTAATGACATCTTTACCAAGAGTAAAAAGGACAGCATAAACCACACAACTGAGTTAATATTTAAAGAACAAGAATTTAATTTGGTATGCAACATTTTCCTAGGAGGATCTTTATTTTCAATGCTATACATGTGAAAATAAGAATGAGTAAGTGGCTCGTTATCTACATGTATAAAAATATAAACATCCTATCAAACATCTGCAAAGTCACCCTTCTTGATATGCATCACTGAAAAGACCTATGCATTAACTTCTAATTAAAGGAAAGACTGCCTTTGTTTTTTTAATAGCACTTGTAAATGCTACTGCATTCATCCCTAAGTACGTGAACTGTGAACAACGACAGCTACAAAATGTATACAGTATTGTGCCTTTAGATTTTTGTCCTTCTGCATGTCAACAGGTTAGCAGAGTCATCGTGTTTATCCATTCTTTGAGCTCTCAATAGAAGAGACCAGCAAAACTCAGTGACTTTGCCTTGGGCGTTCTACCTTTTAAATATTTTACTGAAATTACTGAGTAATGTTTAAGAAAAATATCGTCTTCTGTGGCAAGCCATCAAATGACTATTACGTTTATGGCACCATCATTTTAACCCTAAATGTAATGAGTTGTCAGTAAATGAAGGGCCCCATTTCCTAATACTACTAACGCTTAGAGTTTTTAGCACAAACACAAAGATTAAAAAATCATCGGTTTATATTTTTATTACACCCATGTTTACTTAAAATATGAGAATTTCTGGGTCATCTGCCAGCAAACAGATAGGCAATCATTGATCAAAATACAGGCAATCTTTGTTTTAGAGATGCATTCAGCCACCTGGAAGCTAGTTATGACTCACATTCAAGCAAATACGTAATCGATTTCAGTTCTACAAGCTGATATTCATATTCAGTTTTTCCATAGAAATAGGTATAGGAAACCAGTAAAACATTACCGTATTATGTACACAGCGTTATATGTAAATGCTCAGCTAGATATATTATGAAATTCTGTAGCACTAAAATGATTAAAAAACTAAATGATTCGTGTAAAATGTTTATATACTGTATATATATGTACACTAAATCACAAGTTCAATTTAAATCTGCCCCTATTCATAGCTCCTATGATGGATTTAGTAAGCTACCAGATTCTTAAAAAAAGAAAGCTGTCTAGAGTGAATTTGAACACTGTACTGAAAACTGATTTTATACAAAATCTTAAAAAACATACTTCAGAATTACTTAACAGAAACTAGAAAAAGACAGTCATTATTCTCGAGAACGGCATTGTAAAGACCTAGTAGCTGTGATCAATGTCCTTTCACTTGTGGTATAAATAAGTTAAGCACAAAGAAATCATCTCAGAGTAAGGCATAGGACAAACAGGTTTCATTCCATTTTCAGGTGTATTGGCCTCTCACTCTAATCTGGCATCTAATTTGGCAGGTATACATTTCTCTCCTTTTAAAAATACTCCATTATACAACTATCTACAACTGGACAATACCCAGCGCTTTCGTATGCGCATCTTCCATTTAATCACATTGATAAACAATCTTTCTAATATAAAAAAAAACAACATGATGCAAATTATTTTCAGTTTTATGCAGTTGTGCATGCACTTAATGAAAGACCAAGTGGTGAACAGAGAGACTGAGCACTGAAACTCAACTCCATACATATGTAGCTATAGCTCTTTTCAGAGGAATTAAAGTTTTAAAAATAAAAACCTACTGTGAAATTCTTTGGTTAGAATGCAAGTGCTAGCAGTATTTCTAAATTTGGAGTTAGAACAATTTATTATTCAAGAGTTTTAGAAATGTAACTTCAAGCCTTTAATATGTACTTCTAAATTCTTCAACACTTTGGATACATTTAGGATATTTTTTCGTGAAGGTCTGAATGGACAATACAGGCTTTTAAATCAAGTTCAGGTTTTAAAGGAAAGTGATTTTGTACTCCAGTCTTCAAGAATTTATTAGAAAGAGCTGCTCAATCTTCCCTACTGTAAAACCTGCTGCTTAGACCGTCTGTTCCAAAGCAAGCTATGGCTGCCTCCTCTGGGAAAGAAAGACTGTTAGATAGCACGAACCTAATACAGCTTAGAAGGGGTAATTTCCCCTGAAGAAAGTTGGCATCGTTTTTGTTTTTTTGTAAGGACGGGGCTTAATCCTTTCTAAGAAGCACTAAGTTTGTCAAGGAAGAAGTACTTAACTCTCAGCAGTGTCATTGCCCTGGTTTCTTAAAAAGTGGTTTCAGCATCAATCCTGTTGGCTTCAAAGTTTTACAGCACTAACATGACAAAACTTAAAGTAACAAGCAGGGTGCTCTTGATTACACTTATGATGTACATCTGCATTAATTCAACATACAAGATTTCAGCTTCCCAGGAAGCAGGCCCTACCTTCACTCTGGCGTGCCTGGCTTCACCTCTCCCCCATCGTTTTGAGGGTGTTTAAGGAAATACGCATTGAGATTTCTACGCATATTATAGACAGTAACTTCAAGAGAATTATAAGGACTTCACACCACCCATGAAAGTTACGATTCACAAGCACTTTAGTTTTTCAAAGCGTCTTTTTTTTTTTTTTACCTCTCGAGGGAATAAATGCGTGTCTCTGAGGACACTTTATAGTTCAAATGGTTGGTTATCCAGCGAACCTGTCCTTTTACTTCAGCCTTACGCGCCTGCTGTGCAGGCCCTGGTCCAGTTTAAGAGCTTGGAGAGGGGAGTTCAGAGAGATAGGGAGCAGAGAGGGGAGATGGATGCAACCGGTCAGGAAGGGCCACGCGCACGCCTCCTGCAGAATTACTCATCTCTAGAGATGAGGTGCGAGCCGGAGTGCCACACCCTCACAGTCAGGCATCACTTCTATGTGACGGTCCTTCACAGACGTGCATCACTTTGATGGGATGGGAGGATAGAACGGACCATTATGGGTCCACCCAACAAGGCGAAATCCTGCTTAAGGGTATGGTGATGAGAAAAGACAGCCATTGATCGTGCCATCGTCAGCAGAAGTTGCTGAAAAGCAACCGAAAAGCTCCTCAGGCCCTAAGCGGGTAGTTTTTAAAACACCCCAGCGTAACCGTGCGCGGAGAGGGGCAGGGGCCGGGCGCGCCCGCACGCTTTCCTGGGACGGGTCATTTGTCTACTCCCGCCACCCCTCTCCTTCCTCGCTACCGACACAGCTACTGGGAGGTCTGGAGGGCGGATGATGGCGCGAGCCGGGACAAGGCGGCTGAGCAGGGACGTGGCGGCCGAGGCGCGAGGCGGTGACCTCGTGTCCCCGGGGCCGTGAGCAGGTGCGTGCAGGAGGGGTGGGGGCCGCGCTGGGGGCTGACCCGCCTCGTGCGCGGAGGCGGACGCCGGGGCGAGGGAAGGGCAGGGGGGACGCGGCCCCCCCTCCGCGCCCTCCTTCCTCCAGGCCGGGAGGGGACGGCGGGCGCGAGGGAGCGCGGGGACCGCCGCCTTCTCCCCGCGCCGGGGGCCGGGCGGACGCTCAGTCCCGGCAGAAGACGTACTCGGTGTAGCTGGTCCAGATCTTGTCATCGGCGGGACCGCCCTGCTCGGGGGCGAAGGCGCAGGTGCCGGTGGAGGAGCAGGCGGCCATGCGGAAGCCGGCCTCGGAGAGCCGGTCGAAGGCTTGCTCGAGGAAGTTGAACTTGAGGTAGTAGCGGGCGGTGTAGCGCTCGGGAGGGCGGTCGGGGTCGCGGCTCTCGTTCAGCGTCTCCCCGAAGACCTCCTTGGCCAGCGCCGTCTTGCCGCAGACGGTGATGCGGGCCACCCGCCGGAACTTGGCGTCGGCCTGCGCCTCCCGCCCGATGGTGTAGGAGCCCCGGTAGCCGATGGTGATGTAGCCCGAGCGCCGCCCGCCCGCCCCGTCCAGCGACTGCGAGGGCGTGAGCAGCGGCCCGCCCGAGGGGCTGCGGCTGGCGGTGGGCGACGGGGCGGAGGCCGCGGCTCCTTCCAGCGAC